TATATATATACAGTATATATGCACATTTTGCAATGCAATGCAATTTTTTGAAAATTAGCAAAAATAAATTATGAAACATTTCCAAGACTTAATATGAGAAAAAGGAAGTGTGTTAATAAAATATGTTAATTTGAATACAAATCAACCATTGGTATGTACAGTAAAAGTGCCTGTAGCTGAACAAACACCCTTCTATTGTTTCATAACAGCTGTGTTTCATTATCTGACTGTGTGTCAGCTCGCTCACCTCTTCATCCTTCTAGCTTGACTCCGTCAGGTGCGCTGAGAACCCGTATAACAGTGCCCTGGGAATCACAGTATCAAATCAGATCACAGTACAAAAAATGAAGCTGCTCCACTAAACTGTCATGGAGAAGATATCAGAACACAACCTTCTCAGACCCACTTTTTCACAAGCACTGGCCAGATTGGTTCCTGAAGCATTGAATGCGATGGCAGCCACATGACTGGCGTGAGCCGAGATCACGGTCACCATATTCTACAAATAATGAAAGTGGAGAGCTTTAAGTTGCAATAAACTTCGCTTTCCATTAAAGCAAGTTTCAGTGGGGTTCTTACCAGATTCAAAGCATCACACAGAGTAATTTCTCCAGCAGTGAAGCTCCCTGGATGTGCCAGATATGAGCTGGAACGATTGACAGAAAGTGCACAGAGACCTAGCAGAAAGGAGAGGATTTACAGATCATTCTGGCCCAGATATAGCCACATTTTCATCAACTGAAGCAATAAAAACAGTGATGACTCTGACATTTACAGAGTCATCTGTAAATTACACCAATAACGCAACTATATATTAAAGAGCCGTTACAGCGTTTACATTTGGGGTTTGGTGGCGTGTTGAGAAGAGACTTGAGAAGTTTTATGTCCTTGATGTTGAGGATGTACAGAGCCTCCTCCAGACAAACTACAAGCATCTGAAGAGAGGGAACACAAAATGCTGGAATAAGCCTCAAAACTAAACATGATTTTAAAAGAAGACTCTTTTGCTGACCAGGGCTGCATTTATTTGGACAAAACTAAAACTAAAAAAGTCAAAATTATGAAATATTATTACAATTTAAAACAGCTGTTTTCTATGTGAATATCTGTTAAACTGTAATTTATTCCTGGGATCAAAGCTGTATTTTCAGCATCATTACTCCAGTCTTCAGTGTCACATGATCTTCAGAAATCATTCTAATATGCTGATTTGCTGCTCAAGAAACATTTCTGATTATTATCAGTGCTGAAAACAGTTGTGCTGCTTCATATTTTTGTGGAAACTGTGATACATTTTAATTTTGAGGATTCTTTGATGAACAGAAAGTTCAACACAACAGCATTTACTTGGAATAGAAATCTTTTGTAACATTATAAATGTCTTTACCGTCACTTTTGATCAATTTAATGAGCATTACAAAAATCGTATCATCTGAATGGTAGTAAATGTGTTCCTGTCGGTTGAGTTTGACAGCGAGGCTGTTGTTGGAGTAGCTGTAGTTACAGATCTCCGTGCTTTTCTTGAAATGGTAGATGTTCCTTCTGAAGGGAGTCTATCTGCTCACAACCACCATCAGACTGCTGGAGAAGAGCCGCTCCACTATATAGACATCAGGGCTTTCCACTAATCACACACACACACACACACACACACACACACACAGACACAGACATTCAGAAAGACATTATATACCGAATGTTTACATTACAAAGAAGACACAAAGTGGATGAATGTCACAGCATTTAGATACAAAATATTAAACGATGTTGCATTTGCAATTAAATGATTAAGTAACATGTTTCACTAATGTTTGACAACCACAAAATTGTCCAAATGCTTTCTGTAGCTGTTATCGATAATTAAAAAAAAAAAAGCATTATATTGTTACTTGACAAAAAAATAGATGTTAACTGAAATAAAATTAAATTTAAAAATGTATTTTATTTCAGCTAGTTGACAAGGCAACACTTCTCATTTTCATTTAGTTTAACTTGATGTACTAAAATACCTAAAACTGAAATAAAATTAATAAAAACTATGTAAACATACTAAAAAAAAAAATAGTAAAAAATACTATTAGCCTACTAAAACTTGTGTACATTTTCGGGTGATTTTCTTTACTCAGCTCACAATCAGAAATGGCAGCAAGTGAGAATACATTTTAACGATCCCCTGTTTTTACCTGATATATTTATCGTTGTACAGTTGTTAAAGTATATTGCTATTATGAAGTGTGAACACGATAGGTCTGCAAAACATGCACATAACAATATACAGCAGTTCATCGCGAGAGGAAGAAAAAGTCCCATTCATTTTCTCCATAGAGGAATTGCTTTTTAACAATTACTCATTAACCGTTAAAGTCCGTTCTGCTTTGAATGATGAGGTTGTTTATTAATGGAATATGCTTGTTATGAACCCATCTGCCCGCATTATTTCAACATATTATATTTTTTAAAATATTCATTATATTACTGGTGAAAAACTACGTTACCCATGATTCTGCAAAAATCTCTACCAATCAGAGAATAGAAACAAGCAAATCGCACTTAAGGACCGCCCACTATAAATGCCGCACTCCAATCTATTTAAATATTAAATACACGTAAAATGTGATGTTTCTATATACATAATCAGCATTTTTAAATCAATACGTTTGTATTTATTCATTGTCACGAATCATGGGTAATGTAGTTTTTGACCAGAAATTCGGCTGTTAAATATGTTCATTAAAAGAATAAGTTGAAATAATATAGGTTGATGCCTTCAACAGAAGCGATTAACAACTTTGTCATTTTTTCCCTCATAAAAGCCGTCAAATTATGTCTGGGTTTCATAAGGACCGCCCACTATAAATGCCGCACTCCAATCTATTTAAATATTAAATACACGTAAAATGTGATGTTTCTATATACATAATCAGCATTTTAAAATCAATACGTTTGTATTTATTCATTGTCACGAATCATGGGTAATGTAGTTCTTGACCAGAAATTCGGCTGTTAAATATGTTCATTAAAAGAATAAGTTGAAATAATATAGGTTGATGCCTTCAACAGAAGCGATTAACAACTTTGTCATTTTTTCCCTCATAAAAGCCGTCAAATTATGTCTGGGTTTCATATACATTTTTATTCAAATCAAAGTTTGTAATGTTGTGATTCCCAATTAAAATTGGAATTGAAAATAGCAATATATATATACACACACACACACGTCTGGTTTGCTATCCTTGTGGGGACTCTCTATAGGCGTAATGGTTTTTCTACTGTACAGACCGTATATTCTATTGTCCTACACCAACCCTACCCCTAAACCTACCCCTCACAGGAAACTTTCTGCATTTTTAGATTTTCAAAAAACTTAATTCTGTGTGATTTATTAGCTTGTTTACCCGTGGGGACCTCAATCTAGGTCACCACCGTGACACGAGTCCCCATGAGTCTGTGTGTATTCAGGTTTAAGTCCCCACCAGGATATATAAACCAGTACACACACACACACACACTTTTTACGATTGCTTAAGCACAATTTTGAAAACAAGGTCCGGTTTGTCAAAACACTACACACAACCCTACACCAAAGTAGCACAACACGCACACACACTTTTTACGATTGCTTAAGCACAATTTTGAAACAGGGCCCGGTTTGTCAAAACACTACACCAAAGTAGCACAACACTTCAGATCATTTGCAAAATGGAACACTT